AATTGACAAATCCCTAGCCACACTTACAAAGAAAAAAAGAGAAAAAGCTCAGATAAATAAAATTAGAAATGAAAGAGCAAAAATTACAACAGACTCCACAGAAATACAACGGATTATAAGAGAATACTACAAAAAGCTATATACCAACAAAATGGACAATCTAGAAGAAATGGATAAATTCTTAGACTCTTACAACCTCCCAAAGCTGAATCAAGAAGAAACAGATAATCTGAATAGACCAATCATAAGTAAAAAGATTGAAACAGTAATCAAAATCATCCCAAAACATAGAAGCCCAGGACCAGCGGGTCTCCCCGGAGAATTTCTACAAAACTTTCATAAAGGACTTATTATCTATTCTTCTCAAGATATTCCAAAAATTCAGGGAAGATGGAATGTTTCCTAACACATTCTATGGTGACAACATCGCTCTGATCCCAAAGCCTGAAAAGGAAAACACAAAAAAGGAAAATTACAGGCCAACATCGCTGATGAACATAGATGCAAAAATCCTCAACAAAAGATTGGCAACTCAAATAGAGCAATACATCAAAAAGATCATACATCATAATCAAGTGGAATTTATACTGGGGACAGAAGGACGGTTCAACATCTGCAAATCAGTGTGATACACCACATTAACAAAATGAGGAATAAAACCACGTGACCATCTTCATAGATGCAGGAAAAGCATTTGACAAGATTCAACAGCCATTTATGATTAAAAAAAAACTCAACAAAATGGGGATAGAAGGAAATTACCTCAACATAATAAAGGCCACATATGACAAATCCACAGCCAACATCATACTCAATGGGAAAAAACTGACCATCATCCCTCTGAGAACAGGAACAAGACAAGAGTGCCCAATATCATCACTCTTATTCAACACAGTACTGGAGGTTTTGGCCAGAGCAAGCAGGCAAGAGAAAGGAATAAAAGGAATCAGAATAGGGAGTGAAGAAGTGAAACTCTCACTGTTTGCAGACAACATGATCTTATATATAGAAAACCCTAAAGTATGCATTTGAAAACTATTAGAAATAATGGACAACTACGTAACGTTGCGGGGTACAAATCAACCTACAAAAATCTGTTGCATTTCTATACTCTAATGATGCACTTACAGAAGGAGAACCGAAGAATATAATTCCATTTACAATCTCAAAAAAATAATAAAATATCCAGGAATAAATTTACCAAGGAATGAAATACCTATACAATGAAAACTATAAGACATTACTGAAAGAAATAGATGATGACATAAAGATTTGGAAAGAGATTCCATGCACATGGATTGGAAGAATAAACATAGTTAAAACGTCCATTCTACCCAAAGCAATCTACAGATTGAATGAAATCCCAATCAGAATCCTAAGGACATTCATCATGGAAACAGAACAAAGACTCCTAAAATGCATATGGGGCAACCAAAGACCCCAAATTGCTAAAACAATCCTGAGAAAAAAGAACAAAGCTGGAGGCATCATAATCCCTGACTTCAAAATATACTATAAAGCTATAGTAATCAAAACAGCATGGTACTGGTACAAAAACAGGCACACAGATCAATGGAACAGAACTGAAAGCCCAGAAATAAAACCACACATCTATGGACAGCTAATCTTCAACAAAGGAGCCAAGAACATACAATGGAGAAAAGAGTCTCTTCAATAAATGGTGCTGTGAAATCTGGACAACATCTTGCAAAAGAACGAAGGAAGACCATTATCTCATGCCATACACAAAAGTAAACTCAAAACGGATCAAAGACTTGAAGATAAGTCCTGAAACCATAAGACTGCTGGAAGAAAATAAGTAGTACACTCTTTGATATCAAACTTAAAAGGATCTTTTCAAATACCATGTCGTCTCAGACAAGGGGAAAAAAAGAAAAAATAAACAAGTGGGACTTCATCAGACTAAAGAGCTTTTGCAAGGCAAAAGAAACTAGGATCAAAACAAAAAGACAATCCATTAATTGGGAGAAAAGTTTTACAAATCACATGTCTGACAAGGGGTTAATCTCCATATTATATAAAGAACTCACACAACTGATCAGCAAAAAAACCAAACAGCCCAATCAGAAAATGGGCAGAGGATATGAACAGACATTTTTCCCATGCCTAAGTTCAATAAGAATCTGTTCTTCTTACAGCAGGACATAATTTAAAACACTGGTTATATTACCAAGGCTTTGACTGAAATGTCATATTTGAAAAAAAATGCATAAAAAAGATATGACCAAATGGCTTTGAGGAACAAGAATTGACTTTATGGAACAAATAAAGCCACAAGGAAATATTGGCCTGGTACCTTGCTTAAAGGGTTCCCAGCGACCTAACTAGGTGAGTAAAGAAGGTAACTTTCCTGGCAGGTGCAAGAATCACAGGATATTTGGGGGACCTTGAGAACAGAGGAATTCACCCAAATCTGTAGGTATTACAGGTGGTTTCTGATGACAAGTCCTTGACTTGGCTTTCCTCATCTTGAGAGGCCTTTAAAGTTCAATCTGAGATTCCTTATAAAAAGTTCTGTCAAAGTAGTTTTAAAAGAGCCTATGAGCAATTGCTATCCTTGCTGTACTTATGTAAATAATTGGGCCAACTTTCTTAAAACTAGGCGTACTTTGCAAACCAATGAGTCTTAATTTGGCTGCTTTTAGTAAAAATGAGGGTGATTTTAGACAGAAAAATTATGTTTCAACAGAAATTATAATACACATTTGTGCATGTTAGATTCCAGCTCTGTTAATTGTCTTTGAAGTTTTTGTTTTCTATCTGGAAACTGAATTGGATACTGAATTCTTCTAGTTTCCTCAAATAGCTGGTACAGATCTCGAAATTAATGTTTTCGAATTTTTGTGTCCTTTTCATTTAGAATCACTGAGAACTAAAACCACCCTTTCTCCTGAAGCCCTGAAAACTGAAGCTGGACAACTTGACATAAACCTAAGAGAGAGCACCATGATAGCCCATGTTTGGACAATCTTCATGTCAGTTGCTGTGTAAACCACTCAAAAGGTTTACCTGAATGACTTATGACATCATCAGAGACATTTCAAACTGCAGGGGATGCTTCATCCCTGACATCTAGAGATCTTCTTGACTGACTGTCCCCTGGGCTCAGAAATTGGCTTGTAATTTGCTTCAACCATTAACCTTGTTTTTCTTTTTGTTCCTTTAGAAATGCTTCTTAAGTTTCTGAATACTTGCTTACACAATACAGGCCTAACTTTGGGAGACACTGTGTTCTAGAGATGATCCAAAAGACCTGGAGGAAACTTGAACTAAGGAACTAGGTACTGTCAGATGTTCCTCTGCACCATCTTTGTCATGGAGATTGGGTTCAGTGAAAACCCTGGAAGCACAAGATCGGACCATACAAGAAATGCCACAGGGAACATGAACCACGCTGTAGAGAAACACCACAACTGGGATCACCCAAACTTTGGGTGGCTTCATACTCTAGACACTGACCTCTTCAAATATTCAAGTGAACCTCTGACAGGCCACCAGTTGCTGTTCAGAAGACAATCTCCTAAACATAAGTAATAAATGACTCCCAGGTTCTTAACTTATTTGTTGGACTATTAGACAGCAGGCTATTTGCCTACATCAGATTCCACCTGAGGTTCTAGACACTAGCCTTCATTTGTTTACAGGCCCCTTTTCCTGGATTCCCAAAGGATTAAGGTCCATTACAGATAAGATACTAAAATTTTGTCCGTGTATCTTGCTAATCTGTGTGGTCATCTATGTAATTATAAAATGTGGACTTAAATGTTGCTCTAAAGCCATTGATCAGAGCACTGAAATATTAGTCATGCAAAGCATATCTCACTCTCCCCACCTGGTGTCCAAAATGTCTTAAAATAAAGGTAGAAAATTTTCAGCCCTCTAACCCTGATCTTTGCCCTTTTGCAGCAGGAAGTAGCTAGAGGGGTGTTCACACCTATTCCCCAAGATTGAGGAATGATCATAAGATGGGGGGGTTTGAAACTGAGAATAAAAAAGTTGAAAAATCTTCCCAGGGCTAAAAGAAGAGAAAAAAAAGCTTTGAGGAAAGCTTTGCTAACTGGAGCTGTGCATACGCAGCATAATCAACTGTTGTTCAAAACTAACCAGGTGTTTCTGCCCCTCCTTAGTCTAGCAATGAGTTGTCTTTCCCAGGAATTCAAGGTCCAGATGTCAAGATTCAGCCTCACAAGGCCTAATACAGGTTGAAGATGTAAACTAACCAGAAAAGTTCAGACATTCAAGGAAAAAGAAATTCAGTCTTAAGGCCAAATGCAGGCTGGTGGAAAGGGACCAACCAGCGAAGCCACATGCTCCCGCTCCCCTACATAAAACCACAGCACATGCTCCCCATCCCTACCTAAAACCCCAGGTAAAAACCCCTACCTTTTTCCCTTCAAGGAGGTGGATCTGAGTTTTAATTCCCATCTCCTTGTCTGGCTGCCTTTCAATATTGGACCTCTATCCTTGCCATAAGTCTGTGTTCAAGGTATTGACCCCCCGATGGATAAACGAACCTGTGTTTAGGTTCAGTAACAGTGTGGTCCCCTTTCTCCCCTATGGAGTGGCCCAAGGAAATTCTAAAAACAATTTATTATCCATATCACTAATTGGAACAGAACACACAGCCCACTGCTCAGAACATTTCTGATCAGCTTCACAGAGTGAGAGGAAAATTTGCATCCTGTTTTCTTGTGACTTGAGGAATTGCTAATTGACCAGAGACCCCTTCGTCTTGTAGAAAAAAAGAAAGGGAGCTCCAGGCTGGTACTTGGTGAGTTTCCAGACAGGGTGAAGCCATCTGACAACCCTGGTAGCTGGGGAGGGTGGGAGACCAAGCGCAGGGCTCCCTAAGTGCAGTGGCTGACGACACACAGCTGTCATTCAGTCTAAGCCAAAGGATTCCTCAGAAGAAGCTGGGAGTGATGGTGTCCTGATACTGAGGAATTAAAACAAAACAAAACAAAAACATCCCACAAAAGTATTGAACATAAAGACACTTTATAAGATATTTGAAAGGTTTGTCATTTTCCCCCGTGGACATCTGCAAATACTTGTTGGACGAGCTGCATCCCCATGACAGGTAGAATCTCCATGAAGACTTAGAAACACGTCATGAGATGGGGGCTCAAAACAGCCTGTGGAAGACTCCAGTAGAGAGTTCTCAGGATCCGGTCCAGGGCTCAGCAGGGGATCTTTGTTTCTCGGTCTCTCACATTCAGACCCCAAACTCCACCCCACTGCCCCCTTTCAAAAATAGGAGATGACCGTGAAAGACGGCTCACTAGTTGGAGGCTAAAGACAGCAAGTCCCAACCCCGACAGGAGGGACATGGGAGAGTAAACAAACACCCACAAGACACACAGTGTTGCTCTTCCTTTGGTTTTCTTTTTCCACTATCAAGAGCATTTCTTCATTCTAAAAAGTTATGCTGGGAGGCGGTTGATCAGTTAACACCATGAGTTTTCAGCTAAACTTCTTCAGCTTTAAAGTTCTGAAAACGTTCATCTTATTAAACAAACACCACATGGGCCATGTACAGCAGACTGGCTATGCACGAAAACACCTGAAACCAAGATAAATGATGATTAATGGGCATGCGGAGGGAGAGGACAAGACATGGGCTGTCCACACTAGGCTGGCTGCTCCCATGGTGCTCTGGGATGACAGACCTGAAGCACGTTATCCTGCTCGTGGTGCCCTGGTTCTCCATTTGTGAAATGGGGATGACCACAGCGCCCACATGCCAGGGCTGCTGTGAGGGTTCAATATGATGGTTCACAGAGAGCTCGGATGGTGCCGGGCACTCAGCGGTCATGTCATCACACACCCGCCATCTGCAAAGCCCACCCAGGCCTGGACCCCTGGTCAGCCCAGGCCTGGACAGAGCAGGGCAGCCTTCTGCTCAGACCCTCTGTCAGCAGGTAGTAGCAGCTGTGAACACGGGGAAGCTGACGGGGCACTCACCACAGCAGAGATGTTTTCAAGGTAATGTTCGTATGTGAAGCCGTCTTGCATATAGATGGTGGCCAGAATTTCCAGGATTGAGGCGATAGAGTAAAGCAGGACTGCAACAGTGTGGTAGGCTGACTCCTGCGGGGTCAGAAAGGCCGTCAGAGAGATGGAGAGCCCAGATATGAGGATGTGGGGCCGCTGCGGTCCAGCAGGGCCCATCCACCTCACGTGTACCCACCAGGCATGGCTCAGGTCCTTGGTCACCTTTTGCTACTTCCTTTGACTCCCTCCCACCACATCCACCATCACCACCCCTCCACCCCCTCCTCAAAGAGGTCGTTGGTCCAGCTGAGTTTCATCTCGCTGGTTTGGGGGAAGAGTAAGGACTTCAGTGGAGAAGGGACCCTGCTCTCCCTTGAGGGGGGATCAAGTGAGGGGGGCAGCTTGGAACTGAATAGGCAGAAGTTGGTTCTGAACCTGAGAAGTGTCATACATGGTCACAGCCCTGGTTCCGATATGGCCTCAGGAACCAGTGCAGGGGAGAGATGGGGAGGCAGTGGGCTCCAGGTATGTTTACAAACAAAAAAGCACTAGACTGGGGTTTGAGCAGCTGTAATTGGGAGGTGACTTCTCAAGTGAAATTAGGAGACTTTTTGAGTGACAGGCCCAGCCAAATGGCCCCACCCCTTCCAGGGGACATAAGGGACAGGGGGTCCATGTGTAAGTTTCAACCTCTTTATGTGCCTCAAGGCAGAATTTATGCAGAACACAGAGACCACAGGCCATCTCTCTCCCCCATCAGTTCCCTCTCTGGTGACCCAGGTTTAGAAGCTGTGACATGGAGCTGGGCAGTATGCATGGCCTCACACTGGGCAGCCCAGGCCAACCCCCAGGACCCTGCTCCCAGGAGATGGAAACCAGCACTCCTGGATGATTGGAGGTGCCAATAGGCCCCTGGCAGGTTCAGGTGCTATGGGAGAGGGGTTGGGCAGCTGGTTACCCAAGAAAAAGGCAGTCACACAGGAGGAAGCAGAGGAGACGGTGACAGTCAACTTCTGCCGTCCTCTTCTCCTGACCTCCTGGCTGCAGGGAGCCCTGGGCTGCTGTGCACAGCTCGGAGCTGAAGGCCCAGCCAGCTCAGCCTTGGAACACGGGTGGCAGATGGCTAGGGAACAGCCTCACCCAGCACTGGAAAAGCCAGCCCCTCAGGGGAGATGGTCCTACCCACCCCCCTCAAACATTCAGGGCTGGGACTCACCAGGGAGACCCAGGAAGTCTCACCGCCATGGGCACCAGTTAGGTACAGGAAGAGCAGAGCACCAGTGCCTATGAAGCAGAACACAGACACGAACGTCACCCAGCCCTGGACCAGGGGGTTAGGCAGCTGGGATGAGGTGATCAGCATCCACACGAGGCCCCCAAAGACCTGAGGAGGAAAGGAGGGCAGGGTGAGCATCGGGCCAGGAGATCCCACGCCCAGGAAGGGCCAGACCCAGAGGTCACACTCGGGCACGAGGGGCAGAAAAACAGGAAGGAGGCAGAGAACAGCGGGGGGCATTTCCTCACCAAGAGTGACTCTTTCAGCCCCAAGGCTGTAACTTGATCTCTAATCTGAGTCTTGCCCAGTCCTCTGCTTGTTTGCCTTTATTCACTATTTAAATATAATTTATGTTTTTATTTAAGAAGCACTTATATCACGTTTATGTGCCAGGTACTGTCCTAAGCACTTTACAAATATTAACTCAGTTAGTCGTTACACAACCCTATAAGCAAGGTACTGACCCATTTGTCAGATGGGGAAACTGAGGCACATGGAAGTTAAGTAATTCATCATCCAAGAAAGGACTTACACCATCCAGCATTATCATTAGAAGGGCTAATTCCGGGATTATATCCTTCCTAGTATTTTTGATACAAAAATATCCTTTCTTTTATGAAATGGTAGTGACCAGATGATTCTTTTGGTCTTTATTGTCAAATAAATTAGCCACATTGTGTCAGTAGCATTTTTAAAATAATGGACCCCTTAAATCCCCAAGTCTCACAAGTGCTCTGAGTGCTGGCATTGGGGCTGGAGAGAAAGCCCAGCTCAGCCAGGCTCCTCGGGTGGCCGAGGATGGCATGAGAGCAACACTTACCCGTCGGCACCCAGAAGACACCCAGTTATGTTCGCAGGGTCAAAAGCCCCAATCAAAGAGGAGCATAAGGACAGACCTAGGGGTCACAACACCCCTCAGTGCCACAGTCCAGCTCCCCTGTGGACAAGCACACCCCAAGCTGGGACTCTCTATATGTCTCTTCCCTTCTCCTTGTCCCTCTTTATCCCAATGACATCAGCTCAGCCTCATTTACCATCCCCATCCGGAAAAGGGTTGTGCTGGGTGTGGGCTGGGACACTGGGGAGATGGCTCTACAGTCAGGGTTCTGAGGTAATGTGACCCTTGCACCATCGTCTTGAGCACCTGGGGGCTGAGGACAGGCTGCTTCCCAGTCCTACGTCCCCTTTGGTGTGAACTCAAGCAGCACCTTGACCTCACCTCCCTATCCCCCAGCCTACCTGCTGGGTAAGAGACACCACTGTCCTCACAGGGGTTCTCCAAGCCTCTTAGCTGAGAAGCATCAGGAGAGAATCACATTTAGTAGAAAAATCAGTGCAATGAAGAATCTGGAGTTAGCAAAACCAAGCTGGGCTTAATGAATCAGATCTGGGCATCTCTGCCCAGAAGACTTCCTCTACTGATGAACCTGAGATGGCCTGAAGGAAGGCACGTGACAGAGCCAGAGGGACACACTTTACAACTTAAAGTCACTGGAGCAAAATCAGTTAAACACAAATCGTCAGACTGCCACAGATGAGACGCGTGTGTCCATCTCATCCACAGTTGCCTTTAAGATCAAACAGGTTACCTGGCCTTTTCCATCACGGGCACTGACACAGGGACATGAGTGAGCCGATGGCTGAGACGGTCTTGGATTTAGGAGGCACGAGAGTGTGGCACGGAGGAGCAGGAGGATGGGGCATGCCCATCCCATGGGCAGAGGCAAGGGCCTGGGACACGCTTCTCATAGGCATCCTTTGCCCAGTCAATGGGTGACAATCCAAAGAGGACCAATCTAAGTTAGGTCCCCATTCACGCGCTCTCAGGGAGCCCTGCTCTGCCCCTTTGCAGCCTGCAGCACAAGACAGGTGCATCTGGTTAGTCACAAAGTGGTGCTGTCCCTGACCAGGTGAGGGAGGGGGTGAGGTCCCCCTTGCTCAGGGCTGACTCTTGGGTGTGGGACACAGGGAAGACCGTCCAGCAGTGTGTCAGGGTCCGAGTTAGTTCCCTGGCCTTCAGGGCCTCCTGGGAGATGGGTGTGCCTAAACAAGCGGCTGATGGACCAAATCCCAGAGGAGCAGCTGGCCCTGCATGCAGAGGGGAGAGCCCTCCATGATGGAATCCCACGTGGGACCCAGTGGGCCTGAGGTGCTTGTATGTGGCCAGTGGACATGGGACTGAGGGACACTAAATGCCACGTGGGGGAAACGGTTCGTTTTGTCACTCTCTTCAGTTTTTCTGACTAAGGCAAGGAGAAGGGCTCAAGGGGCAGCCAGGGGTCTGGAGCTCCCCCAGAGCATGAGCTCCAAGGACGGGCAGGCAGAGGTGACCTGGAGAAGGGCATGGCTTTTATTCTTAAGGGAGTGACATAGTTATTCTGGAAAAATTAACTGTAAAACACATAGGAGGTAAATTAAGGCACGGGGTTCCCGGAAGTGGCACAATCTGAGAAGGCTCTCAGACCCTGGTCTCAGGCTCAGTGCCCTGCACCTCGTTCAGCTCGATTCCTCCCCGTGTGGCTCAGTCAGGAATCAAAGGCAGGAAGAGTGAGGGGAAGTCAGAGCGCAGTCCCCACACTGAGTGCTCGTCACAGAGTCCTGAGTGAGCGCCAGCGAGACGGGGCCGCAGCTCTGGGCTGAGCTTCCGGCCCCCAGTGCAGAGGGAAGCTTCGAGGTTACCCCAACTCCCCACCTGCTTTGGGTGTGCGCTTCCACCAGTGTGAGGAAGAGTATGTTCCAGCTCCCTAGGAATGCTCTCTCTCTCACATACACACACTCACACACTCACACACCCTTATCCAGATTCCTAGGGTCTCTGGTAAGAATTCCGTCCACAGGAGCAAAGCCCACCCTGTGCTCCATCCCAGCCCTGACCCCTGGGACCTCAGGACCCTGTCCCAACTCTGGGTGCACCACCTTGCAAAGGGCCTTTAAGAATCATGCTGACTTTTTCTTTGTGTGGTTTCTCTGTAGCACTGAGTTTCATGGTAAGATGGCGGGGAGAAGTTCTCTCTCTGTTAGACAGCTTTAATGAGAGAGAACTCACACACTACACAGCTCACCCATTTAAAGTGACAATTCATGGTTTAGGATGATCACAGACATGTGCAGCCATCACCTCCAGAGCCAATTTAGGACATGCTCATCACCTGAAACCCTGTGTCCTTTAGTTATGGCTCCCTCCACCCCTCCCGGGCCTAAGCGACCACTGACCCACTTCCCATCTCTATGGATTCCCCTATTCTGAACCTTCACATGAGCTGAATCATATATAAAAGGTGGACTTTTGTGACTGGCTTCTTTCATTTGGCATAACATCTTTCAAGGTGAGAAATTCTCTCTCAAGGGGACCTTTACGAAATATCTCCACCATCACAGCACAGCCCACCGGCCATCCTGACACACCATGTGGGGACACTGAGTGAATTTGGATCAGCTCTCTGGAGCCTCCAACTGGAAAGAGCTGAGGATCCTCTGGTGCCCAGGGACATTCTCATGGGAAACAAGCCAGCAGGCCCCGTTTGTCCCAGAAACATATTCTAAGTGACATATCATGTGAAGGGAATGTCCTCACACAGAGGAAATGATTAAACCCTGGGGGTTTTGCTCCCAGGAGATGGGCAGTGGGCCTGCCCTGTACCCCTCACGGCCCTGCCCAGCAAGTGCCCAGGGAGAAATGTAGGGCGACCTGCACAGGGGACCATCTGGGAGGGGACCATCTGGGAGGTGCAGAACACCCCTGAGAGAGGATGGGTGGAGCAAGGAAAAGAGACAAGGCTGAGAAGAGAGGGTCTATTCCAGCTGGACATCTGTGAGCAGTATCCTGGACACAGACACAGCTGGAGCTGCTGTGCAGGTGTGAAGGCCCCGCTCCTTCCTGGCACATGTCAGTTCCCGCAGCACCTGCACCACGCAGCGTCTGCACGGGCGGGGGCGCATGTGAGCCCTGGAGAGGGGCTCTCCCAGCATGCACTGGAGGAGCTGGAGCACGTGACTCGGCCTCTTGGGCCTCGGCTTCCTCGTCTGTAATGGCATTTTGCAGCTGTCTCCCCACACTGCGGGCTGGTGCAAACTGGCTGAAACTATGGGGGTGAGTGTGAAGCTGCTGGCAACATGCCCAGCACCACCCAACAACTAGGGTAGGACACTGCTCACCCAAGAGCCCACAGACCGGGATAGACAGACGCAGAGGCAGCCTGTTACAATGCAGGATGACATCCAGCCCCAAGTGGGCCAAGCAGCCTGGATTGGGGCAGGTCCCCATCTAGCTTTGAAGGAAGAGGTGGACAGCACTAGCTGTTCTGGCCACAGGGTCACCAAGTAGCTCTTCAGGGGGAGGGAAGAGTACACGCTGACTCCAGAGGATGCTGGAGCACCAGTGAGGGCTTCCGAAGGCCAGGGAGCCACGCGCGAGGTGGGGGACAAGGAGCTCGAGGGAGGGTGAGCCTGAGACAGAACTCATCGCTGGGCCAGTGTGGAGGCCTCCAGGCCCCGCTCAGTGCAAAGCTGGGATTCGGCGGGAATCACGGACACAGCCAGCGCCTGCCGCCCTCCCCCTACTCAGTGTGCAGAGAGCATCAGGGAGAGCGGGCGCTGTGCCCAAACCCAGGGAGACCAGGCCTCCTGGGCAGGGAGCAGCCCACCCCATCCTGTCCTCAGGACCCAACTGGACAAATACTTCCCAAGAGCAAAGGGGTAGGTGAGGGTTCAAGCATTTTCCTTCGTGAAGAAAACTCTAAGCAGCTCCCAGCTTCCAGGCAGTAAATGCTCAGAGGCGATTACCTTGAAACATCAGGCGCACAAGTGGAGGCACGGCCTCAGTTTCCCTTCATCTCTGTCTACAGAACAGGCTGGACTTCCTCCACCCCCGCCTGCCCCTGGGTCACCGTCCTCCACACCAGAGAGGGTGCAGCTGGCTGGTGTGCTCTCAGACGAAGGTCTCTAAGTCAGGGGGCTGATAGTCACCTGGGTGGAGCTCTCTCTCTGGGCCCCAGGTTCCAAGCTGGAAAATGGGGGCAGGGCCTGGGCTAACGCTCTGTGGTTCTCAGCCCTCAGTCTACACTAGAATCACTGACACACCTGGAAAAATACCAATGCCCAGGTCTGGG